GTCCTAAACCCGAAACCCTAAGCCCTAAACCCTAAACCTATACCCTAAAAGCCCCAAAACCTAAACCCTAAACCCCAAAAGCCCTAAAAGGCCTAAACCGCAGCCCTGAGGGGCTACAACCTAAAGCCCCTGAAGCGTGCACAGGTCCTAGGTAGTATCAGGGAGACCCCTTAAAGGGGATCCTTCTTGGATTGAGGGTTTAGGGTTTAGGCTTTAGGGTTTAGGGTTTAGGGGACCCTTCTGAACCTTACTTTTGGGTCTCTGAAAAGGGACCTTATTGAGAGGGTCTACATCCCCAAGGGTCCCCCTAATCCTAACTCCTAACAGGTGCTCGTCTCATCCTGGGCCGCGCCTTGTGCAAAGACTGCACGTCCTCGTGGCTTTCGGACAAGACGGGGGGCCTTGGTGGGAGGGCTAAACTGGGGCCTGCAGAATTAGACTAGGATTTTGGGGGTATATGAAAAACCATCACTATCATGTGGAGCCCCCTCAAAACATCATTGGTATCAAAATTGGTATCTATTGGTATTTCTTTAGGCTTTTATGTTACCCTAAAGCCTGCACCCTTACTCAACCCTAGACACAAATCGCTGGGACCAGGAGAGGTTCTCGCTAGCAGAAGAGGGGTTCAACCAACAAAGGAAGCCCGGAACCCTCAATCGTAAGCCCTCAGCACCGTTTAGCGTTTCGGGTTTAGGGAACTGTTGAGGCTTCAGGCCATGGAGCATCGGCTTTAGGATTGAGGATGCAGGGTTGCGACTACGAGGTCAAGCGCCAGGTTCGGGGTTTGGTTATAAAGGTTTGGGGCCTCGGGCTTAGGCCAGCATAGGTTTCAGAGTCTAGGGTTTCAGGCTTTAGGGTTTAGGGTTTCAAGGTACAGGGTTTAGGGTTTAGGGTTTACAGCTGAAGTTCGAGAAACAGGGCTACGGGTTTCTACGAGGCCCTCTGTGTGACTAGTCTCACCCTGTCCGTCTCACTGCTTACAGCGGCTGCTGGGTTGCTCCCGGATCCGAGCCCCCAAACCCAAAACCCTAAACCCCAACCCCAAAACCCTAAACCCTTGAAGCCATAAAGCGTAAAACTCTAAACCCTAATCCCTAATCCCTAAACCCCCCAAAACGCACAACCCTAAACCCTAAACACTTAAACCCCTAAAGAGTCAAATCCCTAAACCCCTAAACCCTTTAACAAACCCTAACTAAATCCCTAAAGACGCCGAAGGCCAAACCACGAGGCCTGGACCCAAAAGTCCGGAACCCTGAACCCTAAACCCGAAAAGCCCTAAGCCCCGAAAAACCCTAAACCCTGAAACCCTCAACCCTAAACCCAAAACGCAAAACCCTAAACCCTTGAACCACGAAGCTCGAGCCTCTGGGTGCCCTGCAAACCCCCCGCAAAGCCTGAACTTTGGGGTTCAGGGTTCAGGGTTTAGGGTTTGGGTGCCTCAAAAGGGATCTATAGGGTGTAGGGTTCCTTAAAGGGTTCCCTAAAGGGGATCTATAGGATCTATAGGGTTTAGTGTTCAGGGTTCAGGGTTTAGTTAGGGTTCGGGGTTTAGGGTTTAGGGTTCGGGGGTTTGGGGTTTAGGGTTCGGGGTTTGGGGTTTAGGGTTTTAGGGTTCAGGGTTTTGGGTTTCGGGTGTAGAGGGTTTGAAAATCCCAGCTGGAGAGAAGTCCGACCTCAACCATCTCAGAAAGCTTGAGCATGCCAGCGAAGGCCTAATATGGTTTGTGGAGAACAATTTAGTTCGGTTTGCTAGAGCTTTATGGGACTTTATCAGGTTCGTATGAGGTTCCATATGATCCCACATATCCCGATGTCCTAGCCTCAAGCAAGGCCAAGCCCCACGCCTCACAATCACGCCACGCACCAAAGCGAAGCACCCGCTTAACACCCTCCTGCTGAGCCCCCAACACCCGGAGCACGCCGAAACCCTGAACCCTAAACCGACAACCCAGCCAGCTTGTCTCGGCAAGAGCCGACCGAAGAAGGCCAGCAAAGTCTAGAAGCAAAAACTCACGGCGCGAGAGAAAGGAGGACACAACGCCCCTCTCAAGAATGGAAATACTACGACATACCACCCTAAACCCTAAACCCTAAACCCTCAAACAAACAAACCCTCAAACCCTTAAAGCCTTAAGCCCTTAGACCTTTAAACCCGAAACTCTGAACTCCCAAACCCTAAACCCTTAAGCCCCTAAACCCCTAAACCCTAAGCACTGAACTCTGGCCTTAGTTTGCCCCGACTTACCCGGGCTTTTTCCGAAGAGTGCCCCCCCCCCCCCCACTTTGTTGCAACCTTTCGGGGTCCTTTTGAGGCGACATGTCCCAGGGTTTTTGCGTTCCCCTAATAAGGCTTCAAGAAACAGTAGAAAGTTTAGGGTTCAGGGTCTAGAATCCCCTGCGCTATACGTCCTGCGCTATGGTTCAAATGCTGCGTCCTAGATCCATGGCACTAAATCTTGCTCTCCACGCCCAAATCCCGGCACGTGAATGCAATTTTTTATGTATTTCAGGTGCATGGTTCAGGGTCTGACCTAATATAGAAGCCTGCATCACCATCAACCTACTTCCTTTCTATGGCTTTACAAGAACATACGCCCAGCACCCTATTCTAGGTCACGCTAAGCAGTAAGGCCCCTACATTACTTCATTCCGCGTGATGTACGCAGGACCTGTACATGTACGACAGGTTCCGGCATACTTACCAAGGCTATTCCGCTGAGTTCCTATTGAAATCCTATTGTGTTGACCCTAAACCCTGAACCCTAAACCCCTAAACCCTAAACCCTAAACCCTACACCCTAAACCCTAAACCCTAGACCCTAAGCCCTTAAGCCATACTATATCAGAGTGGAATCTCTTAGCCTTCTCAAATCGTGTCTCTAAGGTCCTTCCGTGCTTCTGTAGGGTCCCATTGGGTCCTTAAAGGTTCTTGCGGGTTCAGGTGCCGGCGCTTTCGGACTGAATAAGCCCTAAACCCTAAACCCTAAACTCTAAACCCCAAACCCTAAACCCTTGAACCCTAAACCCTAAACATTAATTTTTTTCCACATTGAGATCTGACCCCTGGACACGAGCCAAAGCAATCCTGGGGTTTAGGGTTTAGGATGTATGGCATGTGCCAGCTGCTAGTAGGGTTAGGGTTTGACGATCCAAATCCCGCACACCCCAAGGACCCCAAACTATGGGAATTATGGTATAGTCCCTATTTTGGGCAATGCAGGATTTAGATCATCAACCGTAGCTCAGGCTCTAGGACGAGAGGATGCTCGGCGCGGACTTCTTATCTCAAGCAAGGCGCAGGAAGGACGGAGCTTGTAGTTCAGTAGCCTGTTGAGTCTGTTGCAGTCATGCGGACCATGGCCCTGTACGTATGTATATATATATACTTATGTGTTTGCTTAATTATTCGTTTTTACATATACACAAGTAGACACATGTTTCTTATACCGATCTATACATATATACACCAAGACACGAATGCATATACCTGTAGCCTTTACACCTTAGAATTGGTGGGCCCTGACGCGTCAGGCATAGGTTTTATAGGGCACGGCCACTATCGACCCAGACATTCCACCCTAAACCCTAAACCCCCTTATTCAAGCATGATCCCTTACATCATAATGGGGATCCCTCTAAAGCTTAAGGTATACTCAACCCTAAACTCTAAACCCTAGACCGTCAATTAACCTCTCAATCCTACAGATCCCTTATAGAACTAGGGTTAAGGGTAACAGCTTCTCATGCTTCGCATTGCCATGCTGGTGCAGCATGCCTTTGCGGGCTGGTATATTGGCCAGCTAGGCGACATACAGGACTGCCGAAAACCCTAAACCCTAAACATCCCTAAACCCTAAACCCTAAACCCTAAACCCTAAACCCTAAACATCCCTAAACCCCAAATCTCAAATAGGGTTTCGGGTTCAGATACCCTAAACCATCCCTAAACCCTAAATCTCAAATAAATAGGGCCCTAAAACCCTAACCATCCTAAACCCTAAATCTCAAATAAATAGGGTTTCGGGTTCAGGTTTGTTGAGCTGCTGAATCTGAGTTCCTCACCTTCAGATTGTTGGGGCTACGGGGCCGGGTCTAGGGATGGACACAAGGACACGTCTCGGGGCCGTCTACCCTACGCCCTAAATCCTAAACCCTAAACCCTAAACCCGAAATCCTAAGCCCTAAACCGACATGAAGGAGCTCAAGCTGCGTTGTTTAGGTAAGAGTGACGAAGTCTCAACAGACTCACAGGTTGAGGTGGGTTTGGGCTTCCGGTAAGCCCTTAACCCTAAAGCACTAAACCCTAAACCCTAACTGTTTAAAGGACTTTGTGGTGTAGAGTTTTAGGTTTAGGCTTCTGTGCTTGGGGCTGAGGGGTGAGGTTTCTAGCATTGCTGTTTGCACCGTTCTAGCACCATCAATGACATGGTGGCCATTGTCACGGCCATATTTAGGGTGTAGGGTTTAGGGGTTATTTAGGGTTTAGGGTTTAGAGGTTCTTTTTTAGGGTTTAGGGTATTAGGGGCTATTTCGGGTTAAGGGTTTAGTGTCGAGTTGGCGATCTTGCCTGCTTTGCACACTGCTTTGCGTGAGGTTCCTGTTCGGGGTGCTGAACCCCATATACCCCTAATCTGAATCTCGCAATGGGGTGGCCGATTTTTTTCAGCCAATGTGTGCTTATGTGTGTATGTATGTATGTATGTATGTATGTACGTATGTACGTATGTACGTATGTACGTATGTACGTATGTATGTATGTATGTATGTCTGTACGTGTACATACACATGCATATACATACACATATGCATATGCATACAGAATCACATATACATACACGTACACGAAGGCATACACATGCATACATGCATACATACATACATACATACAGACAGACAGACAGACAGACAGACAGACAGATGCACGCACGCACACATTCTGTAGATACCAGGATTGCGACACGGTCTGCTCGACGATTGGTCCGTGCAATGCGCAGGCCCTGAATGACATGCAGCAACATTGCAACGCCGCTGAACTGCAGGCGTTTCTGACAAGCATCGCCAGGGCACGAGGTGTGTTCAGGACTGGAGGTGGCGATGAGACTTCATCGTATGATTGCTCCAAGAGTTTTGTGGATATTACTGTCGTGGGACCGCCCTACACAGCACTTATGCCCATCGCAAACCCAGATGTGTGCGGTTATGCTACAGACGGTGCCAGTACTTGTGACGCAGCACCTCCCTTTGGAAACGATGCACGCTTTTGCTGCTGTGAAGAGTTTCCTGGCGACTGTGTCGTTGATCCTGTCTCCTGTCCCAGTGCCATAACATCCACAACTAAAACTGCCACCAGCAGCTCATCATCCAGCACCTCCACTTCTTCAACTTCTGCCAGCAGCACAATCTCAAGCACAGTCTCCTCAACCAGCAGCACAGTTTCTGGCAGCAGCACGACCTCAAG